TGTGGATGCACTCAGGGCAATTGCACATTCACCAGCATCACACTAACATATACATGTACATCTACAATCAGCTGTTACCTCAAGCCTACCTAGAGGACTTGGCTCATTACAATTGCAAATACACGCAAAGCCTTGCAACTGAATTACTCTATCCAGGCCTAACTAATGTCCCAACCAATCACTCTGATAGAATACAAATAGAATTGGTATAGAATTTATTTTCTGGTGTAACATGGATTAATATTTTAGTACGGATATTTTTAAGTAGGCGTAGAAATATTGACGATTTGCTTAGTTTTTGCATACTGTATTTTTTCAGAAAAGGTTAGTGGTTTTTGTGATGTCTTAACAAAAAACAACGAAGTAATTGATGATTTCACTCCACCATAAAACCACAACATTGTGTTATTGTGTCAACATAGTTGTTATTATTTCATCCTTTGTTACACTTCACTGCCTGATATTAAGTTCTTACACTATATAAAAGTCAATTATTTTGTATTAATTGGATAATGAATTATTATAATAATGTTAATGTGATAGAAACTATTACACTTGTAAATTAGATAATTTTTTTTCGAAGCCTTATAGTTATTCGTTGATACCTACCTTTCCATATAACCTTACTTAACTAAAATTAAATATTTTTATGGCATAATTGTTATTCAATTGCGTTGGAAGTTTTGGTGCAATATTCTTTTGTTGAGCAAAAGTCTTTTGTTCAAATTGTAAGTTGAATTCTGAAAACACCGTTTCGTAAATTAAGCCGTTGTGCACGTTTCTGTGGAGAGTGTGATCAGTATGCACATATCGAACAGATGGTTTATCAGCAAAACTCTTATTTTACATTCCCTTAACTTTGTGATTAATTTTTATATTACAATTACTCATCAAACAATCGAAATGTAAGCTATTAATTAATCATATCTACTAGGATAAATATTTCAATAGATTATTTCAAAATTTATCTTCCAAACTAAGTAAAATAGTTTGTACAAATTAGGCAAACAGATTTATCCTTCATAGTTCAAGTAATATTTGTTTACTTCCTAATTTTAAAGAAATCAAAAGAATTGGTCAATACAAAGTTAATTTACAAGATAACAAATTTATTCTTAACATATCTCTTTAATAGATGATTGGTGTTTTATATTAATGTCAAAAATACTATAACATGAAAAGGGAATTTACAATATTAATATAGTTTCTTCCATGACACATTCCATACTAAGGTATATACTTTATTGGGACGCCAAAAATGTCGTATATTGTTTAATATTAAAAACAACAGTATATTAGATGCCTTCTGCTATATTTCAAATCACCTCTGAAACGACAGTCAAACTCTCAATTTATTAAATATCCACGTTTATTTATTTTGTTGGCCCAAATAGAAAATACTCAAAATTTCCCTAACTTATTCTCCTAGATTTATCTAAGAATTACGGGCCCCTAATGTAATAGTAGTGCTACAAAAATATGTTCTTAATAAACATTCCAGCAAAGAATATTTTACTTTTATGTTAAATTTGGTTCAATACTATTTTGCTAGTAGAATAAACGCTACTCGTTTAACAATAATGCAGGGAAGATAAATAAAATATTGATTTCATTGACAGTAAAAGTATGCCCTAACATTCTTAACAAGGTCTATACTGAATTGTAGAGTAAAAAGAACAGATATTTTAGCTCTTTATACTATACCACATTGAAATGCTAATCCATACTTTTATTTATATTAATGAGTTTTATGTAGTTTAATAGTGTAATTATTTATTTTCCCAATATGGTTGGTGACACTGATCCCCACTAAGGGAAATGTCATACGTTTATAAAAAGAATTTACCAAGGATTTTCAGACTTAATTTTAAAAATATATAGAAATTTATTGCAAACCGAAACGAAGACATAGATCTTGTAAAGGAATTGCAACTGATGAGAGGTTTGTGATTTTAATTTTAAAGAATTTAATTTTTTATACGATGCATTTCTTCACAAGTTCTTTGTAGTTTTATATTCAAACCAGTTACTCAGGAGCCTATATATTTTCTGTATGTGTTTTTTTTTTTAAATTTACTCGTATATAACTGTTTAGATACTGATATTTTTGAAATTGGTTTACTTTTAAATGCATTATAATGATACTATCCCTATGGCGTAAATGTCAATTTAATCGTTAATTACTCAAATTTGGAAGCTTATGATATAACATGCATTAAAATATATCTTATAAAATTAAAATAATCCCTTATATCATACAATTAACTAGTAGTCCTATATATATGAAGGAAACGTCCATTTAATGGAGACAGAAGTATAAAAAAGAAGTGTGGTCGGAGGACAAACGTCCGGTGTTTTGTTGTGTTCGCTTTAGTTTGAGTCAACATTTCCTCTCGTTCAGAGATGGACACTCTCTTTAAGTACATACAGGGTGTCCCGGAACTCTATACCAATATTTTGGAGCATTTTTCCTGGGTAAGAAACATATCAATCATATTTAAATTGTCCGGAAGTCCTTAGTCACTCACAGAGCTGCCATTTTGTTTTATTAACTCATTATTTTCTTCTTTAAAGTGGTTTACCTATACGAAATTGAAACTTATGGCCGCCAAAGGCTACAGAATAGAGCATAAAGGTTGCAGCATAGATTAAAAGGAGGTTGCAGTGCATGCCTGAGGCATGCGGTTATGTATCTCTAAAGCTGCCATATCTCAGTTAATATTCGTCCAATCTTAAAAAATTAGGCCTTAATTGATGTCTAATTAAATTGCATTAAAATGTTAACCTTAACACATTTTTGTAAAATCAAAGATTTTTGAGTTTTTTTTATAAATTGTAAATTGCCGCCTTTTTGTTATGAATATAGAATTTTTGTGGTTTTGTCTAGTTGTCATACACGTTTGTGCACAGTTTCTAGTTTCGTACGTTTAACCATTTTTTTGAAAAAAAATTAACAAGTGAAAAATTAAAATGGTGGCTGTGTGAATAACTTAGGACTTCCGGAAAATTTTTATATGATAATAATACATGTTTATCACCCAGAAACAATGCCTTAAAATATTAATAGAGAGTTCAATTTAGTTTAAACTAAATTTATTGCAAGCACATAACCAAAATTTAATAAAACTTATGTTTTCGTCACCTTTTTATTTACAACCTTTTCAGCTTTATAATAATTCAGCAAAGAGTTTTTGTTTGGTTTTTTATCATGAAATATCCATATAAAAGGTTTTTGAGCACTATTATGCTGAATGTCACGTCGTCTTGTAAATAAGGTGGGATAGCATAAGCTAAGTAAATAACCTTAGGCCATTGCTTTGTCTAGTAAAAATGACTTACCGTATGAGCCATAAGTGAATATAATTAAACTTGTTTGTTGGACCTCTACAAATAGAAACTAAGCCTATGTTTCTTTGTTACGACATAAACACAAAGTTTTTGTATTTTAGTTACAAGAAGGACATTTACTACCATATAATGTTTATGAATATTAAGAATATTAACAGTAAAATTAAAATCAAATTTAGAGAAGTTATCCTTATTTAGAAATTGAAGCTGTGGAAGATTCGTTTGGAGTAAATATTAATAAATATTAGACTAGTATAGATATCTTTTATTGCTAATTTTCCCCATTTTAATAAAAGATACAATTAGAATATTGTGTAATATTTAAAACTGTATATGTACGTTTTTCTTGTCATGTAGTATATCACAAAAGGGTATTTGTATTCGTTGTTAAAACAAATACGTAGTCGTAAAAAATAGGTTGGTGTTTTGTTATTTTTGTTCATCCCCAGGTTTTTATTCCATAAATTGCAAAGGATGTAAAAAAAGCAATTAGGATAAAACCTTTATTGAGTTTTGTAAACATGTATTAGCTCTGATTGTCTTTGTATTGAAAATCTTTTTAGCCAAAAATAAATTTTACATTTAATCTATGTAAATATATAAAATAGTATAATAAAAAAGTTTATCTATATAGTCATTGAATATTTTTTGTTCAATATTTTTTTCACAATTTTTGATTACTAAATTGTAAATTTTTCAACAAAAACATAATTATTTCTTTACTGTCTAATATATATAACGTCAAATAATGTTGTAAAACTCAAATTACAGTTCGTATTGTATTAGATTGTCTGGTGACATTTCGTAGCGACCTTTGCCTTTATTGTTGTGGAGTGAATAATGGACGAAAAGTCGATATTCAGAGGAACCGTCGTCCCATTGAATATTGACTCGGGGTAGTCTTGTAGTTATCATATTCAATTGTGTTCCACAGACATTTATCGGTATTACTATAGTAGCTTTTTTAATTTCCAACAAAAACACTACACAATCAGTTCCAAAGAGAATATCCATAATTTTGTATTTTAATTACATAGCTTACATATGTTTACACTGTAATTTTTGTCATAGCTGAATTTTTTTCGACTTTGCTCCGTCGAAAGTAGAATACCACTACCACCGCCCCCCAGGTGTGGTGTTGATGTACCAAATCTTATTGATTTATCTGTTGTTGTTTAGAAAATATTCAACCGGTCTGGGACTTTTGGGCCAGTCTGTATAATTAACTTCATATTTTGAGTTGTTTTTGTCTCTGGATCACAGAACAAACTATAAAAGGTATAAAATTACCTGAGTACTGACGACCTTTTCGAAGTGATAGATGTGTTTCTTGTACAAGATCTGATGATGAGGACTTAAGCTCCTCGAAACGCGTAATCCGTAAGGACCAACAGGATCACTCTGGCAGTACTCTGGTAATTTTATACCTTTTATAGTGTATAATTAAGCTACTATTACATTTTTATTCCAAATGATTTTAATAATTGTGTCGTAGTAATTTAAAAAAATTAAGAATTTATAAAACTTTAATTCAACCAGTGCTTTTATATGGTTCGGAAACCTGGACATTAACTAAAAATCATGAAAACAAACTTATAATTTTTGAGAACAAAATTTTGAGGAAGATTTTCGGACCTATAAATGAAGAAGGTATGTGGCGAATAAGAAAAAACCGAGAGCTCCGAGAACTGTACAAAGAACCGGACATTGTAGCCATAGTGAAGAGTAGACGACTGAGATGGGCAGGCCATGTAGAAAGAAGGGAAGAAGAAAGTATGCTTAAGAAGATCGCCAATGGACAACCACGAGGCACTCGCCCGCTAGGAAGACCGAAGTTGAGATGGAGAGACCAAGTCCAGAAGGACCTACGCAGAGTGGGGGCATCTCTTGACATGGCGGCAGATCGGCAGCAGTGGAGGCAACTTGTTGGCGAGGCCAAAAACCTTCTTAGGTTTGAGTGGCCAAGGAGGTAAGGCAAGGTAAGTAATTTAAAAATATGAATTTTAAAATATTTAAATTCCTAAGTTTTTTTGGGGTTGTCCCTTTTTTAAATGCATTTTACAACTTAAGCCGGGTTTTCTTAGGTGCGGAAGCGGAGAGCGGGGAGAGGAACACGGAGAGCGGACTCCACTTGTTTTAGGTACTTTAATTTAAGCGGAGCGGAACATCATGTTAATCTCTTTTCCGCTCTCCGCCTTCCTCTCTCCGCTCTCCGCTTCCGTGCCTAGGAAAACCCAGCTTTATGGGAATAAAATTTATAATTCATTTTTCGCTAATTCTGAATAATCTACTGTATGATAATCAATCAATTGTCAATATTCTATCTTGTACACTAGTTTGATTATCGAAGAACCATTATTATCATTTATTTTGTATGTATATAAACAGTATTGCGTGGTGGAAAAGTAAATTATATATTCTGATTAAGAAATGTCTTAACGAAACTTATGCAGTAAAACATAAGAAGATGTTTTCGTGTTGCTGTTCATAAACAACGGTATAATTATGTGTAGTTACCTTGCAGAGCTCTTCTCTACAACGGTTCTTACACCTCACTGAAAATTCGTTTTTATTTTTATCTCATGTTGACCTCAAAATAAAATGTGTATAGTCTCACTGAAATACACTAAAATACACTAAAATGTGTATAGTCTCACTGAAGGTCTCGAAGCAGATTTTTCGTCTTTGTTACACATAGCTTAACCGCAGTTTACCTTCGGTCAATCAACAAATTTTATCCACGTGACAAGCAATTTGAAACCAAAGAAACGGTTGATCTATTGCTACTTTATAATTACATAGTTATCACTTTTATACCTCAATGTCACAAGCAATTTTAATAATTGAGATTCGTCTTAATTTGGAATCATATAGATAGATAAAATAAAATGACTAAAATGTGTTCCAAGGTTTCAGAAAATTTTGTCAAACTCAAAAATAATGTCGAAAGTGTACATAAATCCTTTTGCTAATTACAAGTAATCATACAAATCAAGATAAAGATCAGTTATGTATGTAATTTATATACGATTTAGTCTGCCTAGAAGTTGATATTCAAATAAAATCAATCAAAACAAGGATGCCAAAGGAAATCAAACGTTTCAACCGCGAAAAGAGTAAATAATTTTATTTGCAATTGCTTAACTATAGAAGTATGTTTCTGGGATAAACATTAAGAGTAGGAGCTTAGGGTTCAGTTGAAAAATTAAATATTTCACTTAATTATCTGTTAGAGATGGATCAATTTAACTATAATTTGACAGATGTCACAAACACATGTTTCTGTTGATAATTTTTACATTCTACGGTGTTTGAATCCACAACTCTGTACATTGTATAGTTGGTACTTTACATGTACTAGTTTGTGTTTACTTGTAAAGTGTTCTAGTTTTCTAATATTTTTAGCCGACTACAAATGCCGGGAACGATTCTGGTAGTATGTCTCATAGTAAGTACACTGAAATATTTTCACTATTTTTGTTAGGTGGTTGCAACTGTTTAATCTATAGTTTTATATAACTTTATAATGCAGTTTCCATTTATTACTGAGGAGTTAAATGCACTTGATATTCATCAAAATCAAGACATGAATACATATAAACATTTTAGTAAAGCAACAGTTAATTTTGTTCGATATAGTTACAGTTTGTGCAATGTTCATTTTACTGTGAAAAATGTTTATTAAATCGTGATTAAATTAGATAAAAATTATACTAGTGGTCTGATTTATAGGAGAAATAAGCGAATATGATTGCAGACTTGACAAGTGTTAATACAAAATCATTTACAGCTCAGCGTAACGTTGACGAATGCAAACTACCCAAAGAGGCTTTCGGATCCTGAAACTGATAGTAAGTCTTAGATTCCATTTATTTTTTTAAGTACGTCAAACAGTTATATGATACAAGAAGCTGTTTATGCAAATATTACATTTTGTTAAGTCCAGTTAATTATAACATTTAAATATACTAAAGGCAATTTGCTGGGCCGAGTGCAGTTTGCCTAAACACTTTGACGGGTGTCATTTTACAGCCTATTGGCGGTGCGAGTGCCAGCCAGGTTTCAGTGACCGGTTTCACGGTGCGGCGGTTATGGGGGTGGAAAGGTCGACCAGGGGGGGTGGGGTGAGCAAAACCTGTTTGAGGGATAAAACGAAACTGTTAACACATAACTTAATTCAACCGAACTTACTGATTATGAAAAAATCGAATGAAGGTGTACTAAAGTTTTATTTTCAATCGATATCAAGCTAGCCCAGTTAGGAACCAGATCTCCGTTACATCCTGCCCATTCATCCCCTTCCACTAATATCCCTCCTCTGAATCACTCTTACGCTCTGGGGAGTCAACTGGTACTAGGGCCTACCTGACAGTGTTGACAGGTTATGAACCCTACGGCAAATAGGACGGCACTCGCTGCGCTTCGCAGATAATTTAGAATCTTTAGCATTCTATAATGCGTAAAACACTTTTATGTCCATAATGGATAATACAAAATGGAATTAATAAAGCATTCTTAAAATCCAATACAGTAGTTATGTAATAGTGGTTAATGTAATAGCTATTTACATTAGAAGTGTAGTAAGAGCGTTTTTACATCACGCAGGCAATGCATAATTCACCTAAGTGATGTAAACACGCTCTTGCGTAACGTGTAACTTACAAGATTTTACCTGACCCGAAAATATACAGGAGGTTACGAGCAATATGTTTCATTATCCATTTCACTCATCTTCTAACAGTAACGTTCATTTACAAACAAAATCTAGGTTAGGAAAATTTTTCAAAGCATAATAATAAAATTTAAGCACACAGCTGATTTCTAGCGTTGAACGTCGTTGGCTCCATAGAGGTATATTTTTTAAGTTATCCACTCAATGTTATTTAAATGGGTTTCATTACCCCACCGAGTGAGTTTTTTTCAACTTTACATCACTCGTGAAGTGAGGAAGTTGTATACATCACGCTTGGGATAGGGAAGTTTAACATGGCGGGTTAGGTAAAGTAAGTTTCAACACCTTCTCCTTTCATGTACACAATTGCCACATTTTCAATGAAGTTAGTGTGAACAAACAAACTACTGTATCTTTTATACACGAGTTTTAAAAAGACATTTAACTGTATTCATTCAATGGTCAGGTTTAAAGAGGATAAACAAAAAATGCTTTAAATGCTGTAAAACATCTCAACTAAAGAATTTGGTTGTTTGTTAGGTATGAAAATCTCTAAATTTACAAGTGCATTAGACAGCAGGTGAAAAATTTCAATAATTGTTAATAAAAAATAAGAACACAGATTTTTAAGTGTTGTGGTACGCACTAAATAGTCCGAAACGATGCAACAAAAAGATAAAGATCTATAATTTAAATGAAGTATATTGTCTATTTTATATCGATCGTTTCCAGTAATCTAACAGACTAGTAAAGTACAATACAAAGTATTAAATTGTTTTACATCATACTAAACAGAAACAGGTACTTTTCCATCCTTATTGATAGGCTGAAAAATTGCCCTTTACCGTTCCTAAACATGGAAGAAGTAACTTTATGTACTTTTACCATGCACTTAGTCAGCTGATGAAATACTCAGCTAACTGCAACAGACTATTTTATATTCTGTAGGCCCAATAAAAAAAAAAAAATTATAATTTATGTTATGTAATAAATTGTGTTATGCGTTTAAAATGTACAAATGAATGATTCGGTTTATTATGAGCTTTAACGTACTCGCACGAAAATCCCACCATGCTCTCACGGTAAATCACCACTTACATGGCTAGTAACTTAATAAACTATTTCAGTTCCAGTACAAGAATACGAAAAGCACAACGGAGACGTGGTTGACTACAAGATCCTTCTATGCGGAAACATAGAACGGCCTCCATACATTTTGGCCTTATTTGTGGAGAGCAGCACAGTCTACGACGAGTTCCAATGCCACGTAACGTCAGAAGAAGAAGTGGAACAGCTGAGAGTGAATCAAGAGGATGGTGTTTTTGCCAGCGTTCTGCCAACGGAGAATTACGCAGTGCTGTGCAAGAAAACCGAGCCCGGTTCCATGATGGTAATTAAGGACGGGGAGTGTAGAAGAAGGAAGTACAACCAGAATGACTTAAGGTTGGCTCCATCTGAAGAAGTGGTGACAGGATTGAAATGTTGTGAAGCAGCAAGAGAGATAGCGAGTCTGATACCAGGGAGACATATACAGCTGCTGGTACATGATTCAACAGTGCACATCTGTGTTGAGAAGGTGGACAGTATTCACTTGAATGATATAAGGTAAGATATATTTGGTTGGGAAGCACAAATTATGATTACATTGTTGGTGATATGGATTGCTTTTGCTCGTATCTCTTTATTACCTACTAGCCGCAACAACCTTACTTCGCAATGAGAATAGGACGATAAGGAGAATAATTTATGATCTAAGGTTCTGGTGTATGAAAAGCTATTAATTCAATTAATACGACTTTTATAAAATTAAAACACACCAACAAAATCCTTTGCAAACACTTGTTTAATGTACATTTGGCAATTTTAATATTTAGTGTATTAATAAAAACGGTATATCAACTTTGCAAGCCGTCAGGGCAGAGCCATAGGAGAGTGTTAAATATAAAATGACTATGTCTATTAAGTCTGTGGTATATTGGATCTATTCATGGAAATAAATCACCTCAAGTAGTCAATAGTTTTCACTTTATTGACATACTCCAATTTTTAACATCCATAAGATTAGTTCCTTCCATCCAAGTAATTCACTTGATCAATATCCACTAAAAGTATAAACATAATACACTATTTCCCAGATGTTAATTTGAAAAAAAAAACATACAAATACAATTCATTAAAAAAAAATGAAATAGAAGACAGTAAATAAATCGAAGAGATATGTACTTAAAAATAAAAACACTCTTTTCAGACAATATCGTCAATTGTTAAAAAAAATTATCGTAAAACAATATCGTTAATTATAAACGTAAAAATAACTGTAAACAATAGTAAAAAAAACCCTGTGATAGTTATCTGTGTGTATCACAGCTTCTTGTTGCTGCTTACAGCACAGAAAACGTACTACTATACCCAGAATGCCAACCGCATGGTAAAAAGCATTAAGCGGTTTGAGAGAGCTTTGCCTGTCAATCCGTAGGCAGCGCCACCAGCGTTTTCATGCAATAGCGTTGCCAGGCAAAGCTCTCTCAAACCGCTTAATGCTTTTTACCATGCGGTTGGCATTCTGGGTTATAGTAGTACGTTTTCTGTGCTTACAGTCGGGACCACGTAAGTTTGCAGTTGAGGGAGGAGCCTATTTACCATATGGTTTTAAATGAACTAATTAAAACCGTGCGGTGTTGCCAAATCTAATAATACCAGCTGATTTGAAAATATTGCTTAGTATATTTTAATTAGTGTTGTCAAGGGATGATGTGGCAACGTTGCACTAGCCTTGTCTTGTGATTGGTTGCCACCAATTGCAGACTTGCGTAGTCCCGACTTTAGAAATTATTAGCTGCTGTTATGGATTAAAACTAAACAATTAATAGTTTTCCAACCTGCTGATCAACCTTGTAACTATTCCGTGTTATTAAACATCTTTAGAACTCACGAGTTTAGTTGAAACAGCTGTTAAGATTCTAAAATTTCTTTTGAATTTATATAATCATAATGTTAACATGGGAAACTCCAGAGCCATTAGGGGTAATCCTGAGAGTATTTTTTGATCGGAATATGCCTATATTATGTTAATTAGGAATGCCTATATTTTATTATCACGCTTAATTTCAGCCTAATCCAACCAGTAGTCATTGCGTGATAAAACCAAAAGTAATTACAAACACGGACACAGACTGTTACATTTATAATATTAAGTATGATATATGATATAGGTCTTTGCAGATAACACAGGAACACCACAGTAAACAAGTAAATATTATTACAGAGAATCCTCTGTCAAACCAACGACGGCAGACTTAGCAACTTCTGCATCGACTCCGCCCACAGATATAACTACTGCACCGGCTCCACACACAGATATAACTACTGCACCGGCTCCGCCCACAGATATAACTACTAAAACAAACCCGCCCACAGCTGTACCGGCCCCACCTACAGATAGAACTACTGCACCGGCTCCGCCAATAGCTTCACCGGCCCCACCTACAGATAGAACTACTGCACCGGCCATACCTAAAGCTACCACTACTGAACCGGCCCTACCCACAGCTACAGTTACTGCACCGGCTCCGCCCCCAGATATAACTTCTGAACCTACCCCGCCCTTAGCAGTACCAGCCCCACTTACAGATGGAACTACTGCACCGGCTATGCCTAAAGCTACCACTACTGAACCGGACCCACCCGAAGCTACAGTTACTGCACCAGCTCCGCCCCCAGATATAACTACCGAACCAACCCCGCCCTTAGCAGTACCGGCCCCACCTACAGATGGAACTACTGCACCGGCTATGCCTAAAGCTACCACTACTGAACCGGACCCACCCGAAGCTACAGTTACTGCATCGGCTCCGCACCCAGATATAACTACTGAACCAACCACGCCGACAACTGAACCGGCCCCAGCCACAGCTACACCCAAGAAATCCAAGGTAGCGGCAGGAAAGAAACAACCTAATAAGACCACACACCCCCCTATATCTGACATGGTACACGCGGCTATCGATAATCTGAACACGCGTGGAGGTTCCAGCTTACGGGTTATAAAAACATACATCGCCCAAAATTACAAGGTTTACATCAATGAAAAGGTGTCTTCATCTATCCGTGATTACCTGAATTCTGCGGTGACAGCTGGCACTCTTGAACGGCGGAAAATCTTCGACAATTTTAGGTACTCTGTCAAGAAGCCAGCGAATACGCCCACTACTACCAAGCCAAATGGAGAGAATAAACCTAAGGTGAATGCAGATAACAAAACAACCAAGAAGGCAAGCCCGGCAACTAATGTACGGTCTTCGGCCACATCCCAGTCGGGACATAAGTGGACAATAACGTTTTTTTCACCTGAAGAACCATATCATTAAAAGGTGAAAGTAAAACGGGAATCGTTATTTTCACCTTAAAAATTTAAACATGAAAGAGTAGTGATGAATAGACATTTTAGGATTTTTTGTCAGTTGTTGTCTGAGTGCTTAATTACAATATTCCTATTTAGTTGTCCACAAATTTTCCTGATGTTTGTTTTCCATGTAAATTACACAAAATATTGATTTATAATTTGCATTTATTATTTTTTTTCATTTTATTATACGCCGACTTATCAATTTTGCTAACTGATGGTAAGAAAATAAATATTTCATATGTTGTTAAACTAAAAAACGCCACCACCTGTTAAACCAAACTCATACAAAAAATATTGAATACGGGAAGATAATATTAATATGATCCGTCCAAGACACGAGAAAAAAAACTCATTTTGCGAATGCGTGAAAACGAAGTGGAAAGGAAAACTTTGGCGGCGGAGAAAGGACGGCCATCTTGTCGTGTCGCCTTTTTCTCAGTCCTACTCTCTCTTGCGTCTTGATACAGTGTCGTTGTCAGGTTGTCGTTACATTATTGTTATTTTTTAAAACAATATTCAGCAGTGAATTGTCCTTGATAAAGGTAAGTACAACCCTAATTAAAGCTTAGTTAAGTTAAGAACCCCATATTTAAGTTATGGACTAGGCTAGATTCAGTAAACGTGTGTATGGATTAGATGGGCCTACCGGCACTGATGATACGTATTTATTTAATTTACCTCCCTACGGTCAAGAACCAGTTTAAAATAAATATAAGGGAGTGTTTGCTTATCAAATAGGCTAGACTAAAAATAGAAATGAAGATTCACCAGCTATGCCACGACTAAGTTAAACTAAATCATGGTCTGGGTACAGCCCAGGTAATTGTTTTGCTTAGGGGCTCTGTGGTAAAGAATTGTGAGAGATAACTTTACAGGGCCTAGGCCTAATCAGAAATCTTTATTGCCTTTGACCATTAAAATGATAAGTTAACTTTAGGGTTATGGCGTTAAGCTTAACTTACGTCTATATGCCTAGCCTAAAAATCCTTGAAATCCAAACGAATGAATAATTACTAGGCTAGGAACAAACAAATAATCAAGTCTAGAATAGTACTTAAATAATTAAATATATGGTCTACTGTTGGCCTATTCATGGCCTATCCTTAACCCACATAACTTAACCCTAAGCCTGCCAGCTAAACAATTTCCACTGTAGATTCTAAAAATCTCAGCTGTAAGGCTAGTAGAAAAGGAACGACTTTTATCTTAACTACACGGGTTAACTTTGGTTCTTTTACCAAATTTAAATTTTAAACTGAGGAACTAGTAGATAGGGAATAAAAGGTCTGTTATACCATCAAAACGTGATATAAAAAACAAATGTTCAATTATCAAAAGCAAATAGTATTTTAGCTTAATTTGACAATAATAAAGTAAGTAGTGGCCTTGTGGCTTTTATAATTTATATTTATAAATTTGTCCAACCCTACAATACATATGAAAAAATAGTTTACCTAACCCGCCATGTTAAACTTCCCCATCCCAAGCGTGATGTATACAACTTCCTTACTTCTCGAGTGATGTAAAGTTGAAAAAAACTCACTCGGTGATGTAATGAAACCCATTTAAATAACATTGAGTGGATAACTTAAAAAATATACCTCTATGGAGCCAACGACGTTCAACGCTAGAAATCAGCTGTGTGTTTGAATTTTATTGTTATGCTTTGAAGAATTTTCCTTACCTAGCTTTTGTTTGTAAATGAACGTTACTGTTAGAAGATGAGTGAAATTGATATAGAAGCATATTGCTCGTAACCTCCTGAATATTGTCGGGTCAGGTAAAATCTTGTACGTTACACGTTACGCAAGAGCGTGTTTACATCACTTCGGTGAATTATGCAACTCGCCTTCGCTCGTTGCACAACATTCACCTGCGTGATGTAAAAACGCTCTTACTACACTTGTAATGTAAATAGCTATAAACACATTTAAAACTTGACAATCAATATGTAAAAATAAAGCAATGGATTTTCATCAAAAGCAACAATAAAAACAAAGAAATACGTGGACAACAAGGGATTTGATACCTAGGATCCGAGGAAGGGAAAGAAGAGAATGAGTGGTATGTGCAGTGTTGTAGAGGTGGGGCAAGCTCGCCTCCCTTTAAGAGTCCTTGGAGCCTAGACGTTCTAACTCATAAAACATTTTAACAACTTCAAAGCAAATTTCTAATCTCACAGTTTACTAGATATTTAAATGACAAACACTTTGTTATTTAACAAATATTTTTAGGTGGTAAATAACTCTTCACCGGCCGTTTGAAAATAACAAAATTAACATTGCTCTTTAGGCATGCAAATCCAAGATATCCGTTGGCTTCCATGGACTCCCTTGGAAATACAATCAAAACAAGAAACAATATTTCTAATCCCAAAATATACTAGATATTTACATTATAATTACTTTGGAGTTTGAAAAACTATTTTTCGATACTCTACTGAGAAATGCCATGTTTTCGTTACATGTTTACCACATACGAAAATTCACAATTTCATTGTTTACAACGGCAAAAGAATGTTTACTATTTGAGAGTAATGTTAACTATCTTTTTTATTTTGCCGAAGTAAACAAACAAAGATTTGTTTTTGTTTTGTCAACCGTATCAATTTTCAACAACCAAAACTGTACAAACATAAAACCAAAGTAAATATTAAATTCAAATTAAAGCCATAACCAAAAAATGCTGAGTTTTGTAATGTTCATAACTGTAATAAAAATTAGTCTTTTTAGTGTATCTAAAAGTAACGTTTAAAACACGAGTGAAAGTGGGTCTAGAAATATTCTCGACCATTTAAAGTGCACGCTAGATCTCGTACTTCAATTATTGTGTCAAATATATAATGACTCACTTTCTACTCTTGTTATGAAATATACTATTTGGATGATCATTAACTCTTTAGCAGCTGTTTGAAATTATTCAATATGACCTAGCTTCCAAGTACTTTAAAAACAAATGTATAATATTTTTATCCATTTGCAATTGGTACTTGTACCAAAAAAAGAAAAATGGAGGTACAATCTTTGAGATAATACTAGGTTTTTACATACTCCGAAGTCAATAGTCCAATGATCATCATTGGGGCACGTAAAGACATAATAATGCCTTTTAATAAAATAGACCAGAGGCCAGAAACATGAATTAAATTTTTTATATAATCTTTTGACTGTCACCGATTGTATTTTGCCCTAATATAATAGCGTAGATTAAATAAGTAGTATCCTTATACATAATACGTGAAGGTTATTTCTACGAAACACTAGTCCTCCGACAATAATGGACGGATTTTTACAAACGATGTGTCAAAATTTAGTATATTTTGTATATTTTGACTTACGCAGAACACAAGGAAAGCTCTTTGTTTTACCTTGGATTAATCATGTCAGAAACTACTCAACGGCAGCCTAGCGCGTGTTTTAGACAATTAGGATGTTGTGATGAATGTTAAAGTAATGTGTACTATTTGTTCACGTTAGTTAAAGCAAAACATCTTTAAAAAAATAGTGTGGTCAAATCGAGCCTAAAACTTCAGTATATTAAGATCTTGTTTTTATCACAATATATTTGATCTTGAAAACCCATTCTATGCACTCCTCTGAACTAAATAGTATAGTGATTTTAAAATGTAATATTAACCCTCACAACCAAGAAAAACTTCTTAATTCACCATGTAACATGTAGCATTACAAATTTTAGTCCTAATAAATACGCAAGGATTTTTATTTCATACGATTTTACTATACATAATGGATGTTATGTTTGTTGTTTCCTCTCACGTAGTACTATTGTTACAACTGTTATTACCGTTATCATACTATATAATCATTCTAGAGATAACTCCTCCAAAACCCCTTTAAAATATAAAAACCATAGAAGAGGAGAAACTATAAAAGGTGAAACAATTCTGAAAACGGCTTATTATCTTTTTAATTAAATCCGTTAGAAAATTCAAACCTTTCATTTCAACTTATATGCGTGGAAACTAAATTTTGCAAGCATTTCAATGTTTTTACCCGTATCAGGGTACATTATCTTAAATATAAGTGTATGTTGAAATTCGCATCATGTTAACTAGAGGCCTGGTCAATTGGAGTTTTTTTTTTTTTTTTTTTTTTTTTTTTTTTTTTTTTTTTTTTTTACCAGAAACCGCGGCTCTAAAGGTTTATCCGTTACAAAATGGCAGCTATCCAAAGTTCTTTCGGAAAATACCTGTAAATAATCCCCAAACTTGAGCATATGTTTCACCAAATGAGTTTACTGGATATCCAAAAAACTGCAGCACAATCAATTTATGCCATTGTTACTTTTGGTTTAGTTTTAGCGAATAGGGAAAAAGCTATAACTGTAGTGTGCCGATGGGTCCCATTTTCCCATCGTCGGAACAATTCACGCTTATTAATTCCCCGACTATGACACACTGATCCCTGCGTATGGAAAGAGGGTGCAGTACTGAGTTAGTGCCGGAGGCAATGAGACAGAGTGGTATCGGCGTGAACGGAGGACGGACGTGACGAGTGCGGGTCGCAGCACCGAGGAGGACGACACATATCCGGATATAGGACGACACATATATTGTTTTATATATGTGTCTCTGACGAGGTCTATTGTAATCAATGATTATTTAATGACCAATAAAGTACTTGATTACTTGATTACTTGACGTCAGAAGATGGCACCCTGAGAATTAGAGACGACAGCAACCCTGAGGAGAGGATAGATGGAGATACTTGACGGGCAAGCCGGCGTGAAGAGGATAATCCCATGTCGCGTAGGCTGAGGTTGGTCGTAATTTTAACTAGGGCTGATCAGAAGGAGGACGAGCGCCAAATAGGGAATAAAGAAGTATTGTGGTAAGTCTTCTGGTTTTTATTTCTGAGCTACGCACAACCCCCCCCCCCCCGTTGCTACCCCTTTGGTTGAGGGGTACGTGACAGTAGTACTTATGGTAAGATCTGGACCCAAGGCCGATTTACTTTTTAGTTTTGAGGTCCCTAGAGGCTAAAAACACCATCAGGTTTATTTGGGGGTTCATATTAAATAGGGTGTTTTTAAGATATTACCGTTTTAATAATACGCCTTGTGTGGTTTTCAGATGTCCTTCATTTTGGATTTCGGGAGGGGGTGTTAAAACT